ATCGGTACAGACGAACACACAGACACACAGACACACAGACGCACAGACACACACACACACACACAGGCAACCTCTCGTCAATATGCGTTTTTTGCATTGCATAACTGCAAAAAACGCATAAAAACGTTATATGTACGTATAAAAGTACTATATGTCATCACCAGTACATGATATTATCATCAGTGTTATACCATATATCTATTATATTGTTATATATCTATCATGTATTATGTTATATCATGTACATCATTATATATTTTATACCATGTCTGTTATGTTATATATCTACATATCTATTATACGTGTATTATGTATACGTATATCTAAAGTACATATTATCACCAGTATCTTTGTTTGCTTTTTTATGCAAATTCTTTTTTTTGTTACCTGCATATACGTATATATGTATGAATATATGTATGTTTATGTATGTCTGCTATGTCTGACGTATGCATGTGTATGTATGTGTACATGCATATATATATATATATATATGTATACATATATATACGCATTTATATATGTGCATATATACGCATATATTATAATATAACGGTTTAGAAAATTATATTAAAAAATAAACGGATAAAGAGAAATGTTTCGGTCCATTAAGTCGTATACATTCCTATTCATCATCACAACTGATCCCCTTCATTGTACTGAATAGGAATGTATATGCGAAAATTCACACATCATAAGTTGTTGAAGGATTGTCGAGCCTATGTTTTAGCGATTGTTCATCAATGGACCTCACAATGAACATTCAAGTATTTATTAAGAGTCACTGATTGTTTTTAACCGAAAATTATCATATTTTTTAATAGAAGATATATATAATCTTACTCGTGCAGTAACAAAAAAATTTTTTTTTACAAGTATTGCCATAACTACCCGATCAGTCAGTTTTATGGGTATTCCTTGTTAGTTATGTCATCAGAAAACTTTTTGCTTTTCGCTACTACGTTAGATTCTACCATGAGATGCACATCTCCAGTTAGTACCCATTGACTATATTTTTTGTCTCTTTGGGGATTGTTTTTTGACAAGTACCACTCACCTGCAGCAGCGGCATGTTGTCAGCAAGACGAGCAAAATGCCCTGCTTATCCGGCCAAAATACTTTCTTACGTAATTAAATCATGCCCTCCCTATTGCTTATTAACGAAGAGTCCTGATTCCTTATATAGTTACGTGAAAAACACTTCGAGCATCCTTCGCTTCGCTGCTATTTCAGTAACAGTTCGCTTTTCTGCTTTCTTCAGTGACCATGTTTCGCATCCGCACACCATTGCTTTCAGCACAGTGGTACTAATGAGATGGAAACTCTGTCCTTCTTGTTGTTACAAACATAACATAATGACAAATATTTACTTAGATGCCAATATTTCTCGGTTTAATATGAATATAACTAGCGCACATAGAATAATTGGGCGAGTTGTTGGTTTAGAGTAGGATACTGTCCGTAATTTTCGAAAATAAAATTTTAGGAATTAAATTTGTAGATTTAGTTCCTGATAAACTATTATCTATTATAACCAAAACTCAGTAAAATTTGCACCTGTAATATTAGGATTAGAAAAAGGAAAAAAGATATACAGTTTTTTAAAGGAACACACACCGTTATTTACGAAATTTTTATTTTTAAAGTGTTCGATAATGTCTTCTGGCCGGAATAGGCGTTGAGATTTAATTTTTTGATGTAGAAATAGTAGAATTATAACGAGAAAGAAATGTTTCTGTCGCTGAAGTCGTACACATTTTCTTCCAGTACCACAACTGGAGCTCATCAGTACGACGATTGTTTTTTGGTGTTTTTGCTCAAAATAAGCTAGTTAAGCCGAAATATGCTTTTTTTGTTATACAGTATTTTGAAAGGAACACACACCGTTATTTACGAAATTTCAAAAGTGTTTGATAATGTATTTTGGCCGGAATACGCGTTGAAAATTAATTTTTTGATGTAGAAGTAGTAGAATTATAACCGGAAAGAAATGTTTCGGTCCCTGAAGTCATATACATTTCCTTCTGGTATCACAACTGGACCTCATCAGTACAACGATTGTTTTTTGATGTTTTTGCTCTGAATAACCTAGTTAAGCCGAACTATGCTTTTTTTTGTTAAGAAAAATTGTAATGTTATTTACAGATGAGCACACGGGATCGTTGTGTTTCAAAAACAAGTCCAAGAGTACCACTGCGCAAAGATACGGAGAATGTTATTCAGAGTTGGGAAAGTGCTTTTACAAGTATGTTTCCACACACAATATAGAATCAGAACACCTAAAACTCATATAGATTGCTACGCATGTTAAAGAGAATGATTTACGTCCAATTTACGTTTGCATTTGTAATAGAGACTTTGTGCTTGATGATTTTTGGTCTGGAAAATACGCCTGGAGAAACAGAAGCGGCTGTTAATGCATAGTTTCGATTTCCACCTATGTAGCCCATAGCTTTTCTTGTACTTTCCGCATCCACATTCCAAACATTCAGTAAATCGGCTCAGTATGCCTGTAGTTTTCCCACAGATATTTAGTATAAAGTCTATTCAGTATTATGATTTATTAGTGATTTATTAGTATCCAGTATTATGATTTATTAGATATTTAGTATTATGATTTATTTAGGTTTTATGCATGGTAAAGCATCAAAAAAAAGGGAGGAAAAAGAGCAAATCTTAGCCAAAGCAAGGTGAATAGCCATTTTTTCGTGTCTCTCCACCAAAATAGAATGCGCGAAATTGTTGCAGTCGAAACAGAAGTTGTAACTAAAGATATAGTAGATTTTGCAGAAGTGGTAGATTTCTGGATAATGTGGAGTGACTTTAACACTAGAAGCCGAGAATCAGCAAATTAAGATAGAACTTGAATCAGGGAGCATTCTAAATTCTAAATTTTTCTATGTCTAAATTCTAAGAAAATTGAATTTCTAAAGAAATTCTCAGAAAAATTCTAAGTTCCAAAATCCTAAAAAGTCCTGAAATTTTTATGAGTATTCTAAAAGATTCGTGCTTCTCATCGGAATGTGGAAGTAGCAACAAACCAGGCGGTTTTGGTATAGCGTCGGATTTGCTAAGCTTTGTGAACCATAGCAAAAAACTAGCAATTAAGGTGCACAAACAAAACGAATCGCCAAAGAAGAGGAAGAACTGTCGCCGATAAAAGGATCATCCCGAACACCAAAGCGTCGTCGTGTGGTTGTTTCGTCGGATTCTGAAGAGGACAGCTCCATTGTGATGATGGAAACTGAGTCCAGCGGGCAAGATGGTGCCAGTGATGACTACAGGGACTCACCGCGATTAAAGAATCTACAATCCCTCTCGGTTAGTTTTGAATCCTTCTGAGCCGAGAATGGCCTTTTAGACAACTGAAACGGCTAAAATACAAACTTTTCCACTATTTTATTTACTGGAGCGTCTGAGGTGCTCAGATTTCGTGCCAAAAATTAGTGGATGTACAATACGCTGGAGGTAACACTTGTTCGCTTGTTGACAGTTTATTGTACTCATAAGCAAATCCAAGGAGGGGAGGAGAGGCGGCACATGTACCAGTGCTACGAAAGTCAGGGTCTAAAGCTAAAACTAAAGAAAACTCTCTTCCGCGCTCCTTGTGGTTTCCCTCCCTTCTTTGGTTACCGCCCCACCGGTAGACGCAGTTCCTTCTCCTCCCCCTC